GAGCGCTTGAAAAGAATATATATTCTGCTGTTGTTGGGTGGACTAGTCTATAAATTTCCATTAGATTCTTTTGGTTGATAGTGTTGTTTAAATCTTCTTTATCATTAGCTGGGCGCAGTGGTGGGCACCTGTAGTTCCAGCTACTCAGGAGGCTGAGGCAGGAGAATGGCGTAAACCCGGGAGGCGGAGCTTGCAGTGAGCTGAGATCCCGCCACTGCACTCCAGCCCGGGCGACAGAGCGAAACTCCGTCTCAAAAAAAAAAAAAAAAAAGTGTACGGTTGGCCAGGTGTGGTGGCTCATGCCCCTAATCCCAGCACTTTGGGAGGCCAAGGTGGGTGGATCACCTGAGGTCCAGAGTTCGAGACCAGCCTGACCAATATGGTAAAACCCCATCTCTACTAAAAATATTTTAAAAATTAGGCAGGCATGGTGGTACATGCCTGTAATCCCAGCTACCTGGGAGGCTGAGGCAGGAGAATCGCTTGAACCCGGGAGGCAGATGTTGCAGTGAGCTGGTATTGTGCCACTTCACTCCAGCCTGGGCAATAGGAGCAAAACTCCATCTCGAAAAAAAAAAAAACAAGTGTGCTGTTTAATTCCCAAGCGTTTGGAGCCTTTCTGGTTGTCTTTCTGTTACTGATTTCTAGTTTGATTCCATTATGGTCAGAACGAATATGCTGTATGATTTGGATTTTTTGTTAATTTGTTACGGTTTGTTTTATGACCCAGGATATGGTTTATGTTCCTTGGTAAATGTTACTTGAGCACTTGAAAAGAATATATATTCTGCTGTTGTTGGGTGGACTAGTCTATAAATTTCCATTAGATTCTTTTGGTTGATAGTGTTGTTTAAATCTTCTTTATCTTTGATTTGCCACCTAGTAGTTCTAGTAATTGCCAGGAATTTAGATGTTAAAGTTTCTAGCTATAATTATGGATTTGCCTGTTTCTCTTTTCAGTTCTGTCAGTTTCTGCTTATATATTTTAAAGCTCTGACACACTTAGGATTGCTATATCTTCTGGTGGATCGACCCTTTTATCATTACATTACATAATGTCCCTTTTTGTCTCTGGTAATTGTCTTTGCTCTGAAGTCTACTTTGCCATTAATATAGCCATTCCTGCCTGTTAAAAAAAAATGCATGATATATATTTTTTCATCCTTTTACTTTCTTATTTTATTTATTTATTTATTTATTTATTTATTTATTTATTTATTTATTTTGAGACGGAGTCTCACTCTGTTGCCCAGGCTGGAGTGCGGTGGCATGATCTCAGCTCACTGCAAGCTCTGCCTCCCGGGTTCACGCCATTCTCCTGTCTCAGCCTCCCGAGTAGCTGGGACTACAGGCGCCCTTAGACGGAGTCTCACTCTGTTGCCCAGGCTGGAGTGCGGTGGCATGATCTCAGCTCACTGCAAGCTCTGCCTCCCGGGTTCACGCCATTCTCCTGTCTCAGCCTCCCGAGTAGCTGGGACTACAGGTGCCCGCCACCACACCCGGCTGATTTTTTGTATTTTTAGTAGAGACGGAGTTTCACCGTGTTAGCCAGGATAGTCTGGATCTCCTGACCTCGTGATCCGCCTGCCTCCGCCTCCCAAAGTGCTGGGATTACAGGTGAAAGCCACCGCGCCCAGCCATATTTGAGTAATTTTTTATCCAGTCTTGCAATATCTGTCTTTTAATTGGTATATTTAGACCGCTTACATTTAAAATAATTATTGATGTGGTCAAGCTCAAGTCTGCCAGTTTATTATGTGTTTTTTTGTTTTATCCCTCTGTTTATCATTATTACTTGCCTTTGTGTGGATTATTTTATTTAAACATTTTTTAAAGTTCCAATTTGATCTGTTTCATTGGTGCAAAAGTAATGCCAGTTTTTACCATTGGTTTTGGTTTTAATGTAATGCCGTTACATTAAAAGTAATGGCAAAAACTGGCCAGGTGGGGTGGTTCATGCCTGTAATCCCACTTTGGGAGGCCAAGGCAGGCAGATCATTTGGGGTCAGGAGCTCAAGACCATCTTGGCCAAAATGATGAAACCCCGTCTCTACTAAAAATACAAAAAGAAAAAAAAAATTAGCTGGACATGGTGGCACATACCTGTACTACTTGGGAGGCTGAGGCACAAGAATCACTTGAACCCAAGAGGCAGAGGTTGCAGTGAGCCAAGATTGCAGCACTGCACTCCACCCTGGGAAACACAGCAAGACTCCATCTCAAAAAACAAAAAGTAATGGCAAAAACCACAGTTGCTTTTGCATCAACCTAATATTTATAATGTTTTTTGAGTGTATTGCATTGTATAGTTTGCTTAGTGATTATTGTTCTAGGCATTACCATATATTTATATAATTCATCACAGTCTACTGGTATGAAAGTTCCAATCTGAGTGAAGTGTAGAAACCGTACTTCCCAATTAGGTCTCTTAATGCTCCCATTTTTAAAGTATAATTGTCTTAAGGATTTCCTCTACATACATTGCACACCACATCAGAAGGGTATGGTAGCTTTTGCTTCAACCATAAAATATAATTAAAAATCATTAACTGGCTGGATGCGGTGGCTCACGCCTGTAATCCTAGCACTTTGAGAGGCCGAGGGGGATGGATCATGAGGTCAGGAGATCGAGACCATCCTGCCAACATGGTGAAACCCCGTCACTACTAAAAATACAAAAATTAGCTGGGTGTGGTGGTGTGTGCCTGTAAATCCCAGCTGCTCGGGAGGCTGAGGCAGGAGAATCACTTGAACAAGGGAATCAGAGGTTGCAGTGAGCCGAGATCACACCACTGCACTCCAGCTTGGTGACAGAGTGAGACTCCATCTCAAAAAAAAAAAAAAAAAAATCATGAACTGAAGGATAGTTTACTTCTATTTTTACCCATTCCATTGTACTTTCCTTTTTAGAGGCCCTAGCCTTCTTTTCTTACTATTTTCTTTCTGACTGGAGAACTTCCTTTAACCGTTCCTTAATGCCAGGTCTTCTGTTAACAAATTATCTTGGTTCTTATTTTTCTGAGAATGATTTTATTTTTTTCCATTATTCCTGAAGGATAATTTCACTGGCTACAGAATTTGGGGCTGTCAGTTCTTTTCTTTCAACACTTGGGAAATGCTGTACCATTTGCCTCCTGTCTCCATGGTTTCAGATGAGAAATCTACTGTCATTCAAATTAGTGTTCCTTTAGAGGAAATGTATCATTTCTCTCTGGCTGCTTTTAATATCTTTCTTTGTCTTCGGTTTTTTGTTTTTTGTTTTTTTTATAGACAGAGTCTCGCTCTGTCGCCAGGCTGGAGTACAGTGGTGTGATCTCGGCTCACTGCAACCTCTGCCTCCCAGGTTCAAGCGATTCTTCTCCCTCAGCCTCCCGGGTAGCTGGGACTACAGGCGCACACCACTGTGCCCAGCTAATTTTTTTATTTTTAGTAGAGATGGGGTTTCTCCATGTTGGTCAGGCTGCTCTTGAAATCCTGACCTCAGGTGATCCACCTGCCTCGGCCTCCCAAAGTGCTGGGATTACAGGCGTGAGCCACCTTGCCCAGCCTCAACTCCCTTTTACAAATGCATACATTAGTTGGGCGTGGTGGCTCACGCCTGTAATCCCAGCAATTTGGGAGGCTGAGGCGGGCAATCACTTGAAATCAGAAGTTTGAGACCAGCCTGGCCAACATGGTGAAACCTATCTCTACTAAAAATACAAAAATTAGCTGGCATGGTGGTGCACATCTGTAATCCCAGCTACTGGGAGGCTGAGGCATGAGAATCGCTTGAACCTGGGAGGCGGAGGTTGCAGTGAGTTGAGATTGCTCCGCTGCACTCCAGACTGGGTGACAGAGCCAGATTCTGTCTCAAAACCAAACAAACATATATTAGCAATTTTAATTCATCCTAATAAATGATGGCCACAATGAAATTATGAGTTTGGAGGGTCAGTTTTAAATCTTCCTCTAAGACACATGGAATGATTGATAGGAAAAAATGTTTATCCTCGAAAATCACTACGTGAACGTCTAAGACCACTTTGGGAGACTGGGCCAATAGCACAGTGAAGCTTGGTATGTCCTGTCTGACAATGGCGTGAGTAGAAATAAACTCCCAACTATCTAAGGCCATGTGCTGAGAACCTTCTAGAAAGTGTTTTGGATGTTGTCACTTCACCATACTGCAAGCTGAAATGATAACTGGGTTAAAATTCTGAAAGCAGCCTAGGTACTCATTAGTGCAGCCTGTGGAAGCTGCATGTCTCACCTTAAGCAGCAGGTCAAATACATGCTTGCACACTTACCTGCTTACATGGTGACCCACTTATGTGATCACCTGCTCACACACACGTCTTGCACACTTACCACTTATGTGATTGCCTGCTTACATGTATACTCATTTACAGAATTTCTGTCCAAGTGCGGTGGCTCACGCCTATAATCCCAGCACTTTGGGAGGCCGAGGTGGGTGGATCACCTGAGGTCAGGAGTTCGAGACCAGCCTGGCCAACATGGCAAAACCCCTATCTTTACTAAAAATACAAAAATTAGCCAGGTATGGTGGCAGGCGTCTGTAATCCCAGCTACTCGGGAGGCTAAGGCAGGAGAATTGCTTGGACCCAGGAGGTGGAGATTGCAGTGAGCCAAGATTGCACCATTGCACTCTACCCTGGGCAACAGAGCAAAACTTTGTCAAAAAAACAAAAAACAAAAAACAATAACAACCAGAATTTCTGCCTACACAATTACATACCCCTAACCTGGTTGTATGCTTACCCACTTACATATTTACACATTCACCTGTTTGTACGTTTCCCTGCTTACTTGCTGCATGCTTACCTCCTTACACGTGTCCCTTTTATATCAGTCTCACATAGTAACACAATTACATGCTTACTTGTTTATCTCGTTTTACATGCTTGCTTAGTCCCTTACATAGTCACACACTTACCATTTACACATACTGACATAATCACACACTATATGATTACAAGTTTACACAATGACATGCTTACCCACTTATACAGCTCCAGATCTGCCAGCGCCCAGCTGCAAAGACACCAAGGGGGAAATGCAAGGGGGTTGGATTTCAGAGAAGGCAGGCTCTTAGTTAGCAGTCAGGCCCACTCTCATCCCTGGTGCCTGACTCACACCAGCTTTTCTTGCAAGAGCCCCTGTCCATACCTCCAACAGTTGCCAACAGATTTCCCAAGGTCTGGACGTTTTTGTGGGATTTTTTTTTCTTCGTCTCCACGTATGTCTCGTTGGAAGGAAAACAGCCAGCATTTGAGGAACTTGTGTATTCATGGCCTTGTGTGTGGCGCCGTGTGTAGATTCTCTCCCCCAGCCTTTTGGTGACTGGCTTGATCAGCTTCACGTGGCTCCCTCTGGTGTGAGTCAGATCTGATTGTGAAATTGGAGGGTGCTGGCTCCATGGAAGACAGGGATCTCCCGCAGGGAAGAACATCCTGAGTTTGGATGGTGCAGGGAGGGGAAAGCACTGGATCAGGAGTCCACAGACCTAAATTCAGTATCAGGATGAATCTTTTCAGAGCTGTGCAACCTTGTGGGAGTCACTCTTTCTCTCTGAGTCTCCGTGTCTTCATATGGGAGAGGTGGGTAACTGGGGACATAGAGAGGCAGAGACTGGGTCCTTCTGCCTTTGTCTTTTTTTTTTTTTAACTTTTTTTTTCTTTTTTTTTGAGACGAGGCCTTGTTCTGTCACCCAGACTAGAGTGCAGTGGTGCAATCTTGGCTCACTGCAACCTCCACCTCCCAGGTTCAAGCAATTCTCCTGCCTCAGCTTCCTGAGTAGCTGGGATTACAGGCATGTGCCACCACCACACCTGGCTAATTTTTGTGGGGGTTTTTTTGGTTTTTTTGAGACGGAGTCTGCTCTGTTGCCCAGGCTGGAGTGCAATGGTGCGATCTCAGTTCACTGCAACCTCTGCCTCCTAAGTTTAAGCAATTCTCTGCCTCAGCCTCCCGAGTAGCTGGGATTACAGGTGCATGCCACCAAACCCGGCTAATTTTTTTGTGTTTTTAGTAGGGACGGGGATTCACCATCTTGGCCAGGCTGGTCTTGAACTCCTGACCTCGTGATCCACCTGCCTTGGCCTCCCAAAGTGCTGGGATTATGGGCATGAGCCACCGCGCCCAGCCTTTCCTCTGTTTTTTTGAGATGGAGTCTTGCTCTGTCGCCAGGCTAGAGTACAGTAGCGCAATCTCAGCTCACTGCAACCTCCACCTCCCAAGTTCAAGCGACTCTCCTGCCTCAGCCTCCCAAGTAGCTGGGACTACAGACGTGTGCCACCACACCCAGCTAATTTTTATATTTTTAGTAGAGACAGGGTTTCACCATGTTGGCCAGGATGGTCTTGATCTCCTGACCTCGTGATCCGCCTGCCTTGGCCTCCCAAAGTACTGGGATTACAGGCATGAGCCACCGCGTCCGGCCCTGATTTCTGTATTTTTAGTAGAGATGGTTTTCACCATGTTGGCCAGGCTGGTCTGGAACTCCTGGCCTCAGGTGATCCACCTGCCTCAGCCTCCCAAATTGCTGGGATTACAGGTGTAAGCCACCACGCCCAGCCCTTCTGCCTTTATCTTCTATCCCCAGGTTCCGGCACACAAAAGAAAAAGACCCTCAATGAATGCTTTTCAGGTGGAATAAGACTTGTCAAGACATTTCTACATCACTGAACACTAAACAAGTGGCAAAAAAGCCAATGAGCACTGTTCTCAAAGTGGGGTCCCTCTATCTGCATTAGAATCATTACAGTGTTGGTTAAATACAGACTCCTGTACTTGAGGTCAGGAGTTGGAGACCAGCCTGACCAACGTGGTGAAACCCCATCTCTACTAAAAATACAAAAATTAGCTGAGTATGGTAGCACACACCTGTAATCCTAGCTACTCAGGAGGCTGAGGCAGGAGAATCACTTGAACCTGGGAGGCAGAGGTTGCAGTGAGCCGAGATCACGCCACTGCACTCCAGCCTGGGTGACAGAGCGAGACTCCGTCTCAAAAAAAAATAAATAAAAATAAAAAAAATAAAAAAAAATAAAAAATAAAAAATAAAAATAAATAAATAAAATTCAACCTCCCATCTCCGGCCCATGAAGCCCTCAGTTATCTGATCCTCCCCTTCCTACCACGCTTCCACACCGCCCAATTCACCTCTCCCTACTCTGCTTCTCATTATCCATGCTTCTACCACAGTGGCCTTCATTCTGTTCCTTAAACTAGCCAGGCTACATCCAGCTTCTCAGGCTTTGCTGCCTGAAGAAATTGAAAGGTCCTCCCAGTGACACCCTTTCTCATCATCCCGTTTTATTTTTATCACACGTGTATCATTATCTAATCGTTTCACTTTTTTTTCAATATATTTATTTTCTGTTTCTCCTCAGGGAACATAGGCTAATTGATGAGATGAGAGATCTTTATGAGTCTAGCTCAGTGTTTCTTAAGCAGGTTTGATCTTTACCCCCAGAGGGCATTTGGCAGTGTCTGGAGACACTTTGGGCTGACACACCCGGGCGCTGCTACTGGCATCTAGCGAGTAGAGACTAGAAATGCCACGAAACATCCTACAATACAGAGAACACCACATAGAATTATCCAGCCTTGAATAACAACAGTGCCACAGTGAAAGTAACCCTGGTCTAGCTCGTCTCTGATGCCCGAGCGCCTGGACCGGCGCCTAGCAAATCGTACGTGGCTCAAGCTCAAACATTTTTGCTGCATGAACGAACGAAATGTTTGAATTACGTGTTGGATTTAATTTTAAAGCTGGAAAGGTCCTTAGAGAGCAATTAAACCACAAGTTTTTATACTCTGCTTCTGGAAGCCTCAGGCTATGGGGCAGAGTTTCAAGAATTCTGCTTGCCAGGAAGAATTTTTAGCTCAACGCTCAAGATGTAAACTTGGGACTGTGGTCTGTTTTATATATTGAGGTCCCAGTAAAATTGTCTGACAAGTTCTACCACTTAAACAAACTGGACAAACTATTGTTCCAGACCAGCCCCTTCATTTCACCGAGCTGAAAGGAAGCTCCCGGAGAAGTTGGGGGCTCCTCGGTGACACACACAGAGCCAGGTTCAGGTCTCCTTGAGCATCCAGCTGGCCTTGGTCACAGACTGGCCATGGCTCTGTGATTCACCAAAGACACAGTTTAGGAGCAAGACAATGTGGTATAGCAGTTACTAGCCCAGCTTCAGAGCAAGACAGGGTGGGTTTTCATCCCGGATCTGCCTCCAACCAGCCGTGTGGCCTTGGAAGTCCACTAACCCTCTCTGAGCCTGTTTCCACTGAGGATCTGTGAGATGGAGATAATAATAGTACCCTCTTCATACAGTTGTGATGCAGATTTAAAAAGTTAGTTGGCCAGGTGCCATGACTCACACCTGTAATCCCAGCGCTTTGAGAGGCTCAGGCAGGAGGTTCACTGGAGCCCAGGGGTTGGAGGCTGCAGTGAGCTATGATCACGCCACTGCACTCCAACCTGGGTGACACGAGACCCTATCTCTAATCATAATAATAATAAGACCGGGCGCTATGGCTCACGCCTATAATCCTAACACTTTGGGAGGATGAGGTGGGAAGATCACCTGAAGTCAGGAGTTTGAGACCAGCCTGGCCAACATCATGAAACCCCATCTTTACTAAAAATACAAAATTGGCCAAACGTGGTGGCACGTTCCTCTAATCCCAGCTACTCAGGAGGCTGAGGCAGGAGAATTGCTTGGACCCAGGAGGTGAAGGTTGCAGTGAGCTGAGATTGTGCCACTGCACTCCAGCCTTGGTGACAGAGCAAGACTCTGTCTCAAAAATAATAATAATAGTAAAATTAAAATTAAAAAATAAAATTAGAGTATGTCAAAAATGTTTGGAACAGTGTTGAGTGTATAGTAAGTGCTATATGTGGGGTGACAAATTCATCCCAATTTGCCTGCGTCCTTCCTGGTTTTAGCACAGAAAGTCCTGCATCCCAGGAAACCCCTCAATCACATAAAGCAGGACAGTTTGTCATTGTAGCCATATGTGTATGTTTGATATGTTTTGTTTTGTTTTGTTTTAAGAGATGGGATCTTGCTTTGTGGCCCAGGCTGGAGTACAGTGCCTCAATCATAACTTCCTGTAGCCTCAAACTCCTGGGCTGAAGCAATCCATCCACCTCAGCCTCCCAGGTAGCTGGGACTACAGGTACAATGCCTGGCTAATTTTTTTAGGGAGAGATGGGGTCTCACTATGTTGCCCAGGCTGGTCTCAAACCCCCGACTTCAAGCGATCCTCCTGCCTCACCCTCTGAAAGTGCTGGAATGCTAGGCGTTGAGCCACCATGCCAGGCCTGATATTTTAAACAAAACTGTCTACATTACTGATCAGTAAATGTCTCTATTAATGTTCAGTTTGATTTTTCATTACTTAGTACCTTTCATGAAGGAAGGATTACTGATCAATTACTCACACAGATGAGAGAGCAGGGAGTATCTTTAACCTACTTTCTAATAATGAAGTTGGTCATTTTCTGTCCATTCACGCAAGAAGGCACACAGCACCTCTATTTGGAAAACACTTTCTTAGCAGTTGGTTTGTTACTACATCGCCTCAAACAAGAGAACTCTTGTTTCTTTCTTCAAAAAGTCTACTTTTCAAACAGTTGCCAACTTCAGGCTGAATTTTCCCCGGTAAGATAGAATCTTAGGCTTGAAAGAAGTTTAGAAAATGTCTAATCCAACCATGACATTTCCCAGATGGGACAAGTGAGGCCCAGAGAAGGTTACTAATTTTCCTGGGGTTACACAACAGCAAAGGATGGCTCTGAGACTCAGGGCCAGGGTTTGAACTCCTGGGCCAGGGCTTTTTCAGGGGTTGTCAAACTGGGTTCCACCCCCAATGGCAGGTTTCCTAGAGAAGTGGGTAGTGAGGGAACAAGAGGGAAGCTACATCACTGGGCAACCCCTAGCCCTCCTCCTTCCATCCCATAAGCTCCACTTTGACCATTTTGTACATCGACCTTCAACTTAAGGAGCCTCTGCAACAGGGCTTATCTCTGGAAAAACTCTTTTTTGAAAGCCACTCAGTTATAACGTAGGATTTACACATTTTCTTCCCTGGAAAACTTTTGTTCCCATGGAGAAAACTTAACTTTTTCTTTGAACCACATTCTCCTCCTCTCTAATGGATTTTTACATATTTGGAAAAACAGAGGCATGCATGGGCCTTTTAAAAGCCAGCAGTTAAACTGAAAGGCTCATTCACTTGTGGGAGAGCTGGGTGACTCAGGGCGTCGGTAACAACTGGCCCAGATGTGAAATCTC